ATTTTTCCCCAAGTTTTCATCCAGCAAAATATAATGAATGAAACTTGCTGCAGCCATACAAACGATACAATTATTTATGAAATACATCAGTCATTGTGTATCATGTTTGTCTAACCTCCAGAGGGAATAATGAAACCCTACACATCAACCAGAAGATTAACATCCACACTGGAAAAAAACTGATGTTTCAGCATCCAGCCATCATCACTTGGAATGTAAGCCACCAGAGATTCGGTTACTGCTTTATGTGATAAACTATACCATTGGTGAGTGCCCAGAAAATTGATGTTCATTATGGGGCTATCAACGCAAATAGTTCACACTAACATACGAGAAGGTGTTGTGCTAAATTTATTTCACAGTAATCCCAATTTGCGTTCCCAAGCAGGAAAACTATGTGAACGATGCTCTCAGAGTGAAGCGTACGTGCAGCTGAGAACGAAGAGAGCCATGTTTCAACACTGGCCAACGCTTCTTTGTGATACTTGGAGCACTTTTAAGGGCTTTGGGAATTTTTTGGCCATTGAGTTGAGTATCAGAGCTAATAGCCAGTTCCTCCAAAATTTATAGGATGCTTTCACTCAAATTCCTCCGGTATAAATTAAAATGGTTTAAGCAAGAAACTGGAGATTAGAAGATATTCCCCTTCACATAGGAGTGGATACAGTATGTGAAACAGACTTCCAACAAAAGCAGCTGACGCGGGTCGATTAACTCCTCCAGGAAAGAACCAGATAAATATCTGCTTGCGAGGAGTATTGAAAGGCATAGGGACAGGTGGAGATTTTGATGAGTAAATATTACATTGGACGTTATGATATCTGTGCTTCTGGGGTCAGAGGTGGCATATGCTGGATGTGAATGGAGGAGTCATGGGTTTGAGAGGTAAACATGTAAGAACATAAGAACATACAAATTTGCTGGGTGAAAGAAGACCAAGGTCCATCTAGTTCCACCATCTTGCACATGTCACGTCCCAAACTATATATTGTATCCCCAGATATTATTTCCTAACAGAAATCTATCTCATTTGTTCTTGAAACAATCAACACTATCTGCTTCCACCGTCTCCCTAGGGAGTCTGTTCCATATGTTTACTACTCGCTCACTGAAATAGTGTTTCTGCAGATTTATTTTGAATTTATCCCCTTCAATCGCAGGCCGTGTCCTCTGGTTCTACTGTTCAGTACAAGATAAAGCAGCTTGTGGGAAATTTACCACAGGATAGGTGTTTTAATAATAATAATAATAATAATAATCCTTGCATTTGATATAGCGCTTTTCACGTCGGGAGGACGTCCCAAAGCGCTTCACAGAACACACTGTAAAGTGAATTGACTGTATATTTGTGGGCGAACGTGGCAGCCAATTGCGCACAGCAATGTCCCACAAACAGTTGTAGATTGAAAATGACCAATTTATTTTTGTTTTTTGTTTTGGAGGGATTATTATTAGGCGTGTGGAGTAAGGAAACTTGCCCAAGGTTTCGCCCTGCCTGGAATTGAACTCAGGTCTCTCGCTTGCAAAGCGAGTGCTCTAACCACTGAGCTACAGGACTCTGTTATAAAATAACAGTTTTATTAACTGTTGAGACAGTGAGCTTGATGGACTTAATAGCCTTTGTTTGTTCTGTGCTTCTTATGCTTTTATGGAGCATATTTTCTGGAGTAGATGATCTCAATCTCTTAAAGATCTCATGTGGACAAAATGTATAGTGCTGAATCTCATCATGAAGTTATCCTATGAACATATGTAATAAAGTATCTATATTCTTGCTTGAGTTAAAAAGTAAAAAACAAACATGATTTTTAAAGTCCCAGTTACTATGATTCTCCCCTGAAGATGCTAACCCTTAAGTAAATAATCCTTACATTTGTTATTGTGGCTTTTACATTGGATGGATCTCTCAAAGCACTTCAAATTTCGCCCTCAAAATATACAGTCAATTCACTTTACAGTATATTCTGTGAAGCACTTTGAGATATCTCGAAGATGTGATAAGACGCTATATCAAATGCAAGGAATTTTATTATTATAAATGATTTTACTGTAAAGTATAATGACTGTGTAGTTTGTCAATAGCAATGTCCCACAAACAGCCATTAAGTGAATGACCAATTTTATCTGGGGGACTGTTGGTCGGGTCACTGGGAGAAACTCCTTTTTCTTTTTGAATAGTGCCATGGGATCTTTACCATCCACTTTCCATTAGAAGGACGTCACACAGTCCACAATGCAGCACACCCCAACACTGCATCGGAATGTCAGCCTCGACTATGTAAGTTCTGAGTCCCGATGTAGGTCTTCAAACAACAACCTTTTGACTCAGGCAAGAGCGCTACTTACTTAGTCAGATTGAACCTATTCTTATATTCTTACAGTTGGCGGTGGGGGGGCGGGCAGAGTATGGAGTAGACAATTACAATCACTTAAAGATGCCATTGTGGACAAAACATAGAGCAGTAAACATCATCATGAAATTAAAACTTATGAATGCATGTAATAAAAAGGAAAAGAAACAACATGATTTTTAAAAAAAGTTATAGTACTATATCCCTCCCTTGGAGATGCTGATTGTTGTAGAGATATGAATCCATGGATTCCCATTGGTCTCTGCTACCTCACCCCAGTGAGTTTACACAATGAGTACTGGAAGACAATTCGACAAAGGAAGGCATCACAGACAAGTAGATTTTGTACTTATACAACATTCAAACACCAGTAAGTGTTCCCCTGTCAGGGTCAAGATAGTGATCAGGGGAATAAACTATGGCTGATACAGTATTTCCTCACCTAGGTTGATGAGACCAATTCAACCCAAACGGACCCTCTCACCATCCCTGTCCCAAAAAAGATATTTTAGGTACTATCTTATTCAACAGTGATAGAGACATAATTTGAATTTACCCCTAGGTTCAAACCCAGAATATTCTGGTTCCAAGTCCAATGCTCAGCTGATTATTATACCTTGGTTGTTGACCCTGTTTCCATCCCTGGTCTGTGATGAGTTAGTGGAGTTAGTCCGTGTTGGGGTGTCAGTATTTGAACATGTTGCCCCCTGATATGGGGAGGAGAAAAACAAGCCAGGTTTCCACTTCTGATCTCTTTCCAGTAACCCCACACCTTGAAAATGAGCATGTTTGTGTATGTCAGGTATGGAGGAGAGAATGCACAGTGGCGATGGTTGAATAACCTGCTGACACTCACTTGTGATGAAAGGGCCCTTGAGTGAGACACCAGAGAGTGGTTAAGACCTGTACAACTGCATATCAACATGCGTCAGTGCCCTCAAGAGCGGAGGGTTGAAAACAGTAAAAATAAAACAGATGAGTGTGATTTTCACGTGACTCGAAGTTCACTGATACAATACTTTTATTTAACTGATTATCACAGGGAAATCCAGCATTTTGAATGTAATACACTGTAAAAATACGTACTTATTTTAAAAGCCGCATTGCATATTTAAAAGGTTAATTTTACATGAACCTGGAGGACATACAGTACAGGTACCATTGATTCAATCAGCCAACTTAAATGTACTTGCAGATCTGAGTTGTGCATATGTACCTGGTTGACCATAGTCATTTTTAGCAGCCATTCTTGCAGACAGCCAACAACGGTAATAAAATATATTCTCAGATGCATTTTACTAAACCTAGATTTGCTTCAAAGTTCAAGGTCACCACATGTCCTTCTGTATTCTTTATCACATAATAATAAGTGGTTATTCCCAGTAAAAGTCTACAGCAATATCTGCAGATAGTATTCAGAAGTGCATAGTTCTGTAGGTTTCAGAGTGCAGAATACACTTACTACTTTGTTCCAGACTCGACTTTTTCACTACGTGGCTTGCCAACCTCCCCAGCTCCATCCCCTACAAATTCCAAATCATCCAACGATAATAATAATAATATTACTAATCCTTACATTTGATATAATCCCTTCCACATTGGGAGGACATCACAAATCTCAATTGTGATGGTTGAATAGCTGCAGGATATACTCTAAAATGGAGTGATTGTGTGTTTTGTGATTGAACAGACTCCTCAGCCTGCAACCTCTCCCATACCAGGCTCTGTAAGTCAATTTCCCCCATTAACTTCAAGACCTTTAAATGCCTCCAAGGCCCACCCTACTCTACTAATCTCCTGAAACCCTATTCCCTCAGTTATTCCCTCCGCTCCACCAACTCTGACTTGCCTCAGGTTCTCGGATCCCCCTTCCCCCTGTCAAGTCTTCACCCCACCTCCTCCCCCCCCACCCCACACTCGCTGGAACTCCCTTAAATCCCTGAATCGCTCCCCTTCCTCTCAACTTTAAATCTGTCTAAGAACCTATCTCTTTGACTGCACTTTGCTCCCACTCAGTCTTCGTAAAGCATTCATTCTCCCTACGCGAAAGACCCTATATAAGTGCAAATTGTTGTTGTCCTAAGCCTTTCGGGTTTGTGTCGAGTTTTATGAAAAAAGGGGTACATATTTTTCAGTTTTAGCTTCTGGGTATTGGTATTTTATTGCAGTGATCTCCTTCCTGCAGTAGCACTTCTAAATCTGACTGCATATGCTAGGGTTGGTTTACTGCTATTAGAATCAGAAAGAAATCAGTCAATATAACTAGCACAGCCTAGGAAGAGCTTTACAAGGATTTTGTAATGTTTTGGAACCGGCTTAAATGCTCCCGAAGATATACGAAATTAAATATCAAATATTGAATTTCTTTTGCAGAGTAGTTTGGATTATTCAATAATAAATATAATATACTGTGTTTAGAAAGGTTTAGGAAAGCGAAGAGCTACCCTTAATGTTGTGCATGGCAACGGTTAGCGTGTCCTTGAAGTAACAGGATAAGTGGTCACATTTTCTACCAGTGCTGACTTTCCATTACAGGCTATGTGCCACAAAATCTCCCATACCTTAAAAGGTAGGATGTTGTAAGCAGCAATAGTGGTTCTTATCTCCAGTGGGTAGCAGTTGCTTTAGAGACATTGTATTTATAGACTGTTTGGCAAAAGAATGTCTATCTGCCTAATGACTGGTGTCGTCTACCAAATAGGAGGGTTCGCAGTCAAATAAAACTCTACGTCTCTACACTTGCCTCGTCCTCTGTTGGTTTACCGGACAGCAAAAGAACCCAGAGTGAGGTCAAGGTAAGGACTCTCTTTCCAACAACATAGAACTTTGGTCACAGGTAATAGAGTTATTGCACCTTTTTCTGTGTTCGCTTCTTTGCTATTCCATTAATTTCCCTTCCAAATTGATAGCTCTAAGTGTACAGTTTAATTAAATATATTCAAGCTGCTGATCCCCTCCTTGCTACTCCCCAGAGCAATTGAATTAATAGTTTAATAAATCAAATAATTTATTAAGTTGTTAAAGGATACTTTAGGGACTCTATGCTGAAAATAGATCAGAGATTAGTTTTCCCCTTTGTAATTCTCTACTGTGTTTGTGAACAGAATTTGTTTCTGACTGAAATCTGTTCCACAACTTTTCACTCTGTCACTTCTTCCCTCACTGTAAGGTGATTTGATCACAGCTAATGGACAGCTATCAGGTCATTGTAACAGCATAAAATGTGGTTACTGGCCCAGGTCTGATGAAAGTCTCATCTTTCTCTTTCTGATGTTGTTTGACCGCCCATCCATTTGCAGCATTTTCTGTTTCTATTTCAGATTTCCAATTTCTTGCAATTTTGCTTTTTATCTCTAGGTTCTAACAACATCCTCAATGAAGTTTTAGCTCGTTAAATTCCAGCAATACTCCCAACACACACTCGGGGCTCTCAAGCCTTAGCTCTCGCCAACCTACTCTACAGAATTAGGTAAGTAGGCTGTGTCCCTTCAGGGAGAGGGTATGCATCCTATTCCAGACACAAGACATCTCCATGTGCAAGTGACATACATGTTCACCTACAAAATATGCAGTCATTACATTTTATAGTCTATCCTTCGAAGTGCTTTGAGACATCCTCCCGGCATAAACATTGCTATGTCAAATGTAAGGATTATTATCTTTTATTGGAACTCAGTCTGGTTTAGATACTCTTAAGCATTGTGAAGGGGTTTCCACATGTGTCAGGTAGATTAAGAAACTAAAACAAAATGTCAATGTCCTGTGTAAGACAACTTCAGACTACGGGGATTTGAGAGATCATGAAGCAGCTTCACGGAATATAACTATTTTAAGAAATAAGTGAAATATTTCCATAGAATTTAGATTTATTAATTTTGGAAACATGTTGATACAATTCCTCTTTAAATATATTCTATTAAATGCAGTGTTTTCATACAACAACAACTTGTATTTACATAGTGCCCTTCACGCGGGGCAGGGTCTCAGAGAGCTTAACAGTGATGCCTGATGCTGAGCTGGGGGAACTTTGTTTCAATCTTCAACTACGTGTTTTGGTAGAATTCAGTCTTATGTACTAATGGAAACTTTTGTACCTGTATTGCCTGAAGCCAAGTGATACTGCATATAATACTTTAAGTGTCAGATAGGTAACTACAATGGAGTGGTGCAACTCAAGGGTAGCTCTGTTAATCAGTGTCTGGGTATCAGTTTTTTAATGTTAAAAACTGTCAGTTCTTCACTATCGTTAAAAGTGCAAAGGCTGTTTCCGTACATTTCCAATGATGTTTTGAAAGCTTAAAACGATCGCTTTGCACTGATATTGATAACAAAGTGATTTAACTGACCCTTTTATATCAAATGGTGCTCATAAAAGCACAGTTATGTGACAGATGTTATATTTTTTATAATAATAAATATAATGATAATATGTATATTTAATATTGCACCTTATCACACTGTAAATTTTCAAAACGTTTCACACAATGAGTTACTTTGAAATGTTATTATTGTTGTCATGTAAGGAAACAAGGCAGCAAACCTGTGCCAGGAATATCCCACTTAACATCATTTTGAAATGGAATATGGATGAGGAGGAATTAGCCAGGAGACCAGGAGAACTCCTTGTTCTTATAAAAACACATACGTTTGATATAAAGCTTTAACATGTCATTTTAATATCTGAAAGTGCTTCACTCGATTTATTGAAAAATGGGTGTGTATCTGTAGGCGAAAACAATAGCCAATTTGCGCACAGCAAAATCCCACAATTAGCTGTGAAGTGGATGACTTGTGGAATTGTTGCCAGGACACCAGGAAAAACTCCCTTCTCTTTTCAAATAATAATAATAATCCTTGAATTTGATACAGCGCTTTTCACGTCTTCTAGACGTCTCAAAGTGCTTCACAGAATATACTCCAAAGTGAATTGACTGCATATTTTGTGGGCGAAATGCGGCAGCCAATTGTGCACAGCAGTGCCCTACAAAGAGTTGCAGATTGAAGTGACCAATTTATTATTGTTTTTTTTCTTGAGGGATTATTATCAGGCGTGTGTAATAAGGAACCTTGCCCAAGGTTTCACCCTGCCGGGAATCGAACCCAGGTCTCTCGCTTGTGAGGCGAGTGCTCTAACTGCTGAGCTACAGGACTCCATGTCTGGAGTTCAGTACTTTCAAATAGTACTGAACTGGCAGATGAGATTCTGGTTTAATGCCTCATCTGAAGGAAAGCATCTTCGACAATTCAGTGTTCCCTCAGTGATGCATTAACGTTTCAGTCTGGACAATAAGCTCAAAATCCTGAAGTGCGGCTTGAATTCACATTTGACTCAGACATGAGTGTTACCAACTGAGCCAGTCTGACTGACACCCTTCTTCAAAATAGTGCCGTGAAATTTTTAATATTTGTTTGAGCTACAAAAATGAGCAGGTTGGACTTTTCTGTTGAGTTAATTCAAAACCTGTGGCATAAATTCCTGTAGCTTAGTGATTAGAACACTAGCCTCGCAAAAGAGAAGACCTGGGTTTGATTCCCAGCAGAGTGAAACGTTGGGCAAGTTTCCTTACTCCACACGCCTCTGTTTACCATGCAGTAAGTAGGAACCCAGTTGTTAGTTGAATTGCAGATCGTTTTTCCATGGGTAATAATTCCTCCAAAATAAATAAAAATAAATTGGTCACTCAATCCATGAATGTTTGTGGGACTCTGTTGTGCGCAATTGTGGAGTCCTGTAGCTCAGTGGTTAGAGCACTCGCTTTGCAAGCGAAGGACCTGAGTTCAATTCCCGGCAGGTCAGGGCGAAACCTTGGGCAAGTTTCCTTACTTCACACAGAGCCTAATAATAATTCCTCCAAAACCAAAAACAATAATAAATTGGTCATTTTCAATCTACGACTGTTTGTGGGACATTGCTGTGCGCAATTGGCTGCCGCGTTCGCCCACAAATATACAGTCAATTCACTTTACAGTGTGTTCTGTGAAGCGCTTTGGGACGTCCTCCCGACGTGAAAAGCGCTATATCAAAATGTAAGGATTATTATTAAAGGATTACCACAGTTCGCCCACAAAAACTGTCAATTCACTTTACAGTATATTCTGTGAAGCGCTTTGAGATGCCTCGAAGATGTGATAAGGTGCTATATCAATTCAAGGATTATTATTATTATAATTGTTCTATAACATTATGTTTTCACTATTCAATAGCTTCTTCGGTATTTTAAGGTATTTATTTTCTCCTTCTTTTGTCCCACTCTTCTCATCCATACACTGGGGTTTAACATGTGGTTTCAATTTAGAAATTTGCAAGATATCAATCAGGAATTAGCCAGATGTGCCAGAGGCACCTTTCACCATCGCTGATATGAGGATTGACAATGGTATTTATTCATTTCCAGCACACCCGGGTAATACATAATCAATACATTATGAATATTTAAATTGAAATTGCATGATACACCAAACTATCTTTATCGCAAAAGACGGGCAGGCACCTTATTCTACTATTGGCAGTTGGTGACCAGTCACTCTTATTCCTGTAAACAAAACACAAAATATTGCAGATGCTGGAAATCTGAACCAAAAACAGAAGTCGCTGGGAACACTCAGCAGGTCAGGCAGCATCTATGGAGAAAGGAAAGTGAGTCAACGTTTCGGGTCCACGAGCCTTCGTCAGAACACCTTCAGTTTTGACGAAGGGTGGTGGACCCGAAATGTTCATTCACTTTTATCCCAGTTTCAGTAGGCTTTGTTTTAGTGTGCTGTTCCTGTTCTGGCTGCCAGGAGGCAGCAGGAGCCCTAGTTACACAACACAATCACCTGTTGTGTTATTATTGTCGAGCTGTTCTTTCAGACAAGCACTCCTTTGGGTGAATGCAAAGTTCAAACCAAAATTAGACGGCAGCAAGTTTGAGTAAGCACTGGTATGTTTAACAGAACTGATTTCATTGCTGAGACACTGATGATGTCAGTGCGGTGTGCTACAGCCCCTGGCCCTTCATTCGTTTTACTGGGGGAAATTCTTCGCCCTTTGTTTTAAATGAAAGCTTTAATGAAGACATTACAAAATAACTTTCCGTCTCGTAACTCTGGGTTAACAAGAAACTTTTGCTGCATAAAGCACTAATTAGGTAAAAAAAAATGGCAAGTTAACCTTTTTGGCTCACTATGAAAGCTTCGTGTCAAATTGTATTCACTGAGCAATTTGGCTTCGTAGAATCCCAACCGCATTCTACTGTACATCAGTGGTGGCCAACCATGGCCCGCGGGCCGGAAGTGGCTCACCAAACAGTCCCACTAGTCTAAGGTGAGTCTGTTTTAAATCAACGTTATGTTTCCATTTTTTTCTTGATTGAATATTTCTTGATTTATGGCATAAATCAAGAAATATTCAATCAAGGAAATTTATTTTGTTGGCCGACCGCAAAGCTTGGCCACCACTGTTCTACATAGTTGAATTACATCCAGCACTAAGTGGGGTCTGTGCTGTTATTCAGGGATCACGTCCAGACACCCTCTTGTGGAGATGGGGAAAGAATGAACCTTATTTCCTGCCAGGGTTCCTTCCTCATCTGTTCTGATGAAATCTCTAAAATTGCCCAAGTAAAACCTCTGGCCTAATATTGTCTTTAATAGTTACAAACAGAATAAGTAGTTGATTTAATTGAATTGCGTTAATTGAATTTAACTCCAAAGGTGATGGAAAGGGCAAGTCATTTTTTTTCATTAAGAAAAGTTGGGTGGATTTTCATTCCTGCATTCTCATACCAAAAATTCCACAATATCCCACAAACTATGTGGTTTTAGCTGGTTAGACTTCAGCAGTGCCCCAAACCAAGCCATGGCTCCTGCCAACCTATGCCTAATACTTTCCAGATTTAGGTAAGCAGGAGGCGTCCCCATACCAATCGTACCAACCTGGCCTGCTCCATGACCTCCACCCTGCCCCCTTTGTACATTTTTATTCCTTTTTCTTTGGTCAGCCGGGTGTCTGTCACAGGCAAAAATCTATCACCTTGCTTATGAGAATCCAACCCAGACTGAGAGACACAAAATGCACGCAATACCTACAATTTCTTTGTCTGGAATGGAAGATACACTCTCTCCCTGGAACAAATCACGCTGCTTACCTAATTCCAGAAAGTATAGATGTATATATATATATATACTATTTTAAATATTAGGCAAAGAGTCTTCGGAACCGCGAAGTGCGCATTGAGATACTCCTGAAGTTTAATCAGCTAAACCACATAGCTTGCCATTGAAAGCAAGCTCTACCTTCCCCTGTAGGGCTTTGCCTACCAAGGTTAGCGGGAGCTAAGCAGGAAAAATCCCTGCCCAAGATTGGGATGTATGTCTCTCCAAGACTTGCCAATGAGCAGTTTATTCCTTGAATCTCAAAAGTTAATCCAATCAGCAAAATAGTCAGTGGAATTGTAAAAGTGCTCAACAGAAAAACGGGAATGTAAATTG